GTGTATAGCTCAGGTGCATTCACTCTGTAATACACTCACATCGTTGTGCAACCATCACCACCAGCCATCTCCAGAACTTTTTCATCATCACAAATAGAAACTGTACCCATTAAACAACTCCTCATTCCCTCTGTCCCTCCCCCCAGCCCCTGGTTACCTCTATTCTGCTTTCTGTCTCTATGAATTTGACTATAGGTACCTCATATAAGTGGAGTTACACAATATTAATCCTTTTGTGTCTGGTTTATTTCACTTAGCACAATTTTTTCAAGGTTCACTCATGTTGTAGCATGTATCAGAATGTCATTCCTTTGAAAGGATGCATAACATTCCATTGTGTGTTCCCTTACCTTTTTAAGTTTCTCTTTGAATGCTCCCCACCGCTGTTTCACAGGCTGGCTTTCAGTGGCTTTAAGTTGCCGTGACATCCGAAGGTAGCTAAGTTCTTCCCTTTCTGCCTTCTGGTTTTCCATAGTGTTCTCCATGATGTACACTTCATTTTTCACATTTAATATTTCATTCTCTTTTGCCTGTTAAATTAATAATCCATATAATGGCTTTGCTTTCCCAAGAGATACACCTTTCTGCATACAACTATTTTAGGAGGCAAACACTCCATCACAGCCAAAGCAGAGCACAGTTCTGATATCCAGACAAGTCTGAATTCTTTGTGCCAAGGCACAGTTAGGCTCTCAAAACCTGTATTCTATGCTTGCACATCACGTCCCAAATTCTTCAAGACCCAATGGTGTCTGAGTTCCCACCTAGGGTCTAGTGATTTCCTGGGGTATAAAGGGTAATTTAATGAGCACTGGGATCTAGAAATTTTGAAGTCAAGATTTTTTTAATACATAAGTTTTGAAGTATATGCCACCTTTTATTTAACACACTTTAGAATATGTCAACATCTCAGTATCAAGCAGAAGGAGGGGACTGATTGTTCTGGACCTCTGTTTTCTTCTTTAAACTATCCCATTGTGTATATTACAATTATTCTAAATTTCCCTTGAAGTTCCTTAAGTTCCTTCATCTTGGCTTTGCTTTCCCAAGAGATACACCTTTCTGCATACAACTATTTTAGGAGGCAAACACTCTATCACAGCCAAAGCAGAGCACAGTTCTGATATCCAGACAAGTCTGAATTCTTTGTGCCAAGGCACAGTTAGGCTCTCAAAACCTGTATTCTATGCTTGCACATCACGTCCCAAATTCTTCAAGACCCAATGGTGTCTGAGTTCCCACCTAGGGTCTAGTGATTTCCTGGGGTATAAAGGGTAATTTAATGAGCACTGGGATCTAGAAATTTTGAAGTCAAGATTTTTTTAATACATAAGTTTTGAAGTATATGCCACCTTTTATTTAACACACATTAGAATATGTCAACATCTCAGTATCAAGCAGAAGGAGGGGACAGATTGTTCTGGACCTCTGTTTTCTTCTTTAAACTATCCCATTGTGTATATTACAATTATTTTAAATTTCCCTTGAAGTTCCTTAAGTTCCTTCATCTCTGAGAACTGAAATATGTATCTATACCTCTATATTCATTCACAACTCTGTTGTGCACGAGAGCACAATATCTAAATTTAAAGATTTCATTTCCCAAGTTTCATATGTTCTGGCTAGCTGGTTTGAAATCTTTTAAACAATGGTTTTAAACAAGGGGAAATTCAACTGGAGACAAAAGAATAAGAGTGGTAAAGACTAAAATCAGGTGCTTTATTTCTGTATAAACATAAAAAAAATGCAGAGGAACATTTATTTAGCAAAACAATAAATTTTTTACTTTGATGGCCAGGCTTTCTCAATAAATCCTCAAATTTCTAATGGATTTCTATAATCATGATGACAGTGATTGACAGTATCATCAACATTTAACAGGATATTTTAGATACAGGCCACTTTATCCTTTAATTATTTAAACTTTTAACCTTAAATGAGATTTCCCCCATGAATTTGTGGATCTTGTAAGAAAATGATATATTCTGTAATTATGAAGAACAAGATCCAAGAAATTATGAAAGATATTAGATAAGTACAGCAGAACTCACTCCAAATTATATTTATTTTTATCTATGCTATAAATAAAGTTGAGGTATCTTTCACATATTATAAAGCAACTATTAACCAAAATGTAATATCTTATATAATTTAACATAAACTTGGAAATTGCAGCACATTGACAACAACAATCAGAAGTATATAGTGGTCTGAGTGAGGTCTAGTAAACAAAGAACTACAGTAGGATTTGTTTTTGTCTATCGAGCAGGATCTAAGAAAAATGATCGTGCATTTGGCAGACTTAAATATTTTGGCCACTCAGGAAGATTAAATACTTTGCCTGAGGTCTAGTTAGTAAACACAGTACTCATTTTACTCCTGTGTAGGGCATGGAAAATTTTGCCATAATCCAGTCTAACTGGCCAATAAATTATCCATTTTCTATTTAGATTCATGCACAGTTAATGTTTTTCTGATGTCTTGCTTTCCAAATACCTAGGTAACAGGAAGGCTGTATCCTGAATAGCTTTCTTAGTATTCACCACTCTAAATTAATGAATTGGCAATTTCATTAAGATGTTTGCCAGAATTCTAGCCTGAATCAATTTTTCTGATCTTGATGATTTTTAAATGAACTAAAAATTTTTCAATTTCAAGTTTGAAAATGTGAGCCACACAACCCAGTCAAGACCAGAACACACAGCTGATTATGCCAGCTGGCCTCTTCCTTCTTAACAACTAAATGGGTTACCACATTTCAACGATAATATTTGTGTAAAAGCTTAATGGCCCAAAAGATATAAAGAAAATTTTTAAATTTTTCAATTTCAAGTTTGAAAATGTGAGCCACACAACCCAGTCAAGACCAGAACACACAACTGATTATGCCAGCTGGCCTCTTCCTTCTTAACAACTAAATGGGTTACCACATTTCAACAATAATATTTGTGTAAAAGCTTAATGGCCCAAAAGATATAAAGAAAATTTTTTAAATGTGTTTTACCAAAAATTTCATATCTCAGAATTTCACTAAACCAATAAAGTTAACTATTTATGTGGGCTTTAACTTTTCTCAATAACAACCAACTTATTTATCATATGGCAGTAGTAGGCCTTGGGTGAAAGTAAGCATGTTATATCAAGATAAAAGGCTACCAAGGCATCGTAGTAAAATACTATTTCTGAGAACTCTCAATGGGCATTTGAATATTATAATAGACTACATTTATTTAGAGGTAGATGCAAAATACAATTTGAAATGGATTCTCACTGCAGGTCTTTAAAATATGAAAATTGACTGCACAGTCTTATACATTCTAATTAAATAATGAAGGACTTCTGGGTAGGTCGTATTAGCCAGTGGCAGAGCAGTGCTTCTACTTAGAACAACCAGAAAAGCTGGACAGAATGCAGAAAGCATCTGTTTGAAGGTAGCAGAGCGCTACTGTAGCAACAAGAACTAGAGGCTGAGACTCCAGAGAGGAAAGAACCTGAGAATGGTGAGCTCTCCTATCACCACTTTTACCCGGGAGCACTTGTCAATTCTGTGCACTGATAGATGGTGGATAACAGAGACTTTCCTGGTTCAGAAAAATCAATGAAGCTTTTGGCAGACACTTGAGGGCTTCAAGCACATAGACAGTCTTCTAAGGACACTGACAAAACACTGGGGTTTTATGGGGCAGTGGATTAAAAAACCTATGCAAAAAGCCTCTGAAAAGTAGAGTGGGGTTTTTTTTCCCAGCAGTTTTCCAAAACAAAGATTGGAATTTTGGACCTGACAGGGGCAGAGAATGCCGAGAAAGCACTGAGCTCTTAGTTGAAAACTCTCAAAGTTAGAGGTGAACAGAGCAGACTGAGCCTTGACGGGACTACACAACAGACTTCACACTGCCAGCTTCTGATGGGTTTAAGTGATCTCCCACCAGCACCCTCCCACAGAAAGAAGGTGAGCCTTTCTAGAAGAAGATAACACCATCTGAGCCCCTCCATTTTTTTACATAATGCCTGGCATTTCATAAATATTCATTAGTCCTGCCAAAAATATCAGGACTACATGACTAAAAACCAGGAGAAAAAGTAGACAATAGAAACAAGAACTTTAAAATACCTGGGATTAATATGATTCAAGAAAGTTTAGGAAAGATGGAGAAAGAGAGTACAAGAAAGAGAATTTCATCAACAATTTAAATCTAATTTTAAAAAGAACCAACTGTACATTCCAGAACTGAAAATAAAATTCCTGAGATAAAGTTAATAATAAGAGTAGATTTTAAAAAATGCAGTTTGCAAATACTTGAATTCCCTTAAGAACATAAATTAGAAACACACATAATCAAGAGATAAAAGACAATATATGAATGAAGCAAAAATGTAAAAGATGGTATAGATAGATGGATAGACAGACAGATAGTTAACATATGTTTTAAATTTTCCAAATGAAAAATAACTTGATTATTTTTTACCATGAAGCACCTGTATAACATAGGAACATGGACAAATTGCTTAGCAAGTGTTCTGTGATGCTTAAGGATAGTGTTAGATAAATTGGAACTACTTAATACATACTTCGTTTCCACATAAGTTTAACAGGAATGATTTTCAGACCACAAAAGTTGAAACAAAGAAGATAAAGAGAAAATTGTAGCTGAAAGTAGATGAAGGTGATTAGAACTGAACTCTTCCAAATGAATTCAGGCTCTGGACTGAGATTAATCACATCCCAAGTACTGAGAAAATTGTAGATGTCAGGAATCTTTGAAAATATACAGAAACAAGAAGGGCCAAGAGTTAGAGAAAGGAAAATGTCCTGATTTTCAAAAGGGGAGAAAGGGTGGACTACCCAGTTTATATACTGGTAAGCTTCGCATTGAAAGCCAGTGCGATAAGTTCATCACCTATCAAGCACCTTGTGAGCATTTTGGGAAGAATGCCTTGATCACTAGGAATCAACCTGATTTATGTCAAATAATACTTATATAATTGATAGGATACTAGGCAGGTAGAAATTCTTTTAAGCAATTTATTTGAGAAAGTTTCCCATTATAGACTTAAGAAAATGATTATGAGTAGTGGTTAAATTAAGGTACTATTGGGAGTATTCATGAATGTTTAAAAAACTGGTTGATCAAGAGAGTGCTTCATGAATTGGAATGCCAACCTGCCCTTTGGACATTTTCGTTAAAGAGCTAATTGCATCCATAGAAAGCTTCCTTATCAAATCTACAGAATTAAGCCTACGAGAGATCGATAATATAGAAAATAGTTCAAATTAGTTTAACAAGATGGAATCTTGGGTGAAGACTAACAAAATGAAATTAAATAAGAATAAATATAAAGGCCTGCATTTGTATGAAAAAGATAAATGGCTGACACAGATATAATATGGGAGAGACCTAGGCCGGCAGAAGCTGCGATAACAATGTTATGTGAGTTTTACTTGTTCATAAGCTTGATAGGAACCAGCAAAGTGAAATTATTGGTGAAAATGTTAGCATAATCTTAGATTCCATTAGTAAAGACTAATGTCCAGTTTATTGTACTCTGTGCTCCGGTTGTACTTCACTTTTTGATTGTATTTCATGAATTATTTTGACAAATCAGAAAATGTTAGGAAGGAGGATCAGGATGGAGAGAGAAATGAAGCTACCTCACAAATATACAGAGGATTGTATGTGTTTAGCTGCAGAAAAAAAGCTCAGATTAGACATAGCAACTGTTTTCAAAGTTGGAAGGACTCTTATGTGTAAGAAAAATTAAATTTGAATACTTTTTTTGACGCTGTGTAGCTACAGAAGATTGGTACGAGATATGAAGAAATTTATTTAACATTTAAAAAAAAGTTTTCTAGTGGTAGTAATTTTCCGACGGTGAAATGAACAGTTTTATTAGGAAGATACTTGAGGCGTTGAAGGAGGTGTGGAATTAACTATCTTTTAATAACTACAGAGAACTTTATATGGGTCAGAGGTTGATATAAAGATCCTAGAATATTCTACAGGTGTAACTCAGGACTACTAAAGTTTAGGGTACATTTCTAAATGGCATGGAGCTTCACTATAGAAATGTCTGCTATAGTAGGAAATTCTTCAGAATGAGATTCATCCTGGAAGGTGTCTCAGCCACTGGAAATTTTGTGAGGACTTTGTTGCGTGCTCTCAATGTAACTCAGAACTTCTGGGTGGAATTCTGAGGACTTTATATAATAATAACAATGTTGAATTTGGATTACAGTCACTTTTTCTTCTTAATAGTTAAAACAGCCTTCATGTTATAAACTAACAAGGGCTCCAGAACCAAATAAGCACGTAAACGTTGGGCTTTGGGACTAGTCTAGGTTGAATGAAGCTAAGGAACTTCCTAAGCCAGCACTGCTGATAATAAACAGTTGAACTTTTGAATTTATGATTTTGACTTTGTCAAGTAATCCTTATAGAAGGTGTGACTCATTTAATGTCATTCTCACCATATTTATTAAATTAAGAAACTCAAGCCCTAGGTCTTGGGTTAAAATACTCTTCTTTAAAAATAGCTGCCACTGCTTCTCAGCTGAGTCAGACCAATATTTGGCTTTAGCATCATCCTCTTCCTTCTGAGAGATTTCAGTTTGATAAAACTCCTTTAGGCTCTGAAACTGCTCCTCTACCTAAAAAAGGAGAATATAAATAACAATTAAGAACACTTAAAAACAGTTTTTAAGAAAAAGAAAACTAGATTCCAATAAAAGCCTATATAAAAACTAAATTCTGAAACTACATTTTCAGAATTCTTTAAATAATTGTTGAATATTGTCAATTTACTGAAAAGGTATGAATATCTATTTAGATTGTTGACAGATAGGACTACCAATTAGTATTAAGTTAAGGTGACAAGTTTATTACTCATAGAAACTACCTATTGTAGCCAAAATCATATTATGACTTTATATTTGTATATACTTTGCAATTTGAGACAATTTATGTCAAAGAGCAGTGTGGTTCCATTTAAAGCATAGTTTTATAATTCAGAATAAAGACACATATATACAGTCAAGGAATCCAAATCAGAAAAAAATGTAAGTCAGTGAAAGATTATCAGTGATTAGTAAATCACAATTTACTTCTACTCAGTGGTAAACCATTATAAAAGAGCACAAATAATTATTAATTTTTTGTATGTCTTAATATTAAGCTGCCTCCATGAGCTAATCTTATTAAGATACATTACTTAGCCTCCCTAGTATTATTTTCTCATTTGCTAACCAATATAAGCAGTACTAGCTTATTTTAAATCACTCTCCTTGAGCAGAGTTTATAAAAATCAAATGTGTCTGTAGAACTGTAAATTAATGTATAATTGAGTGATGTAGAAATTTCAGGCAACGGTTAGTACCTATATTTTAAAGGTTTTAGCATCATTTTTAATTTAAGTGAACTTAATAGGAGAGCCTGAAAATGGCTCTCAGAAGCAGAAGTTCTCTCATTTCCATATTCTATTTATTCATGACACTATGTTTTGCTGATAGTGTTTCCTTCAGCCCAGAATGGTCTTTCCTCAATTTTAACCATTCATGAACTAGTTAAAATGCTACCTCCTCCATGGAGCCATCTAAGATTCTCTAGTAATAATTAATTATTTATTTCCCTGGGTACCCAAAGATAGCTCTGGGAGAAAGAACAATAAGCAAATAATTTGCAGTAAGCAAATTATTACAACACAAAGACAAGTATACATGCAATGTTATGGGCACACTGAGAAGAGACCACCATTGCTATATAGAGTAAATAGGGAAGAGCTTCTTCCCAAAGGAAGTGACATTTGACGTATGTCCTGATGAATTGTTCAGGGTGAGAGGGAGGAGAAGAGGATTCCAGACGGAAGGGATGATGCATAAAGGCACAAGTGTGAAAACACTGGCCAGTTCAGGGGACAATAAATGATGTTATTATGGGTGAAGTTCAGGTTGCACAAGCCGAGTGGTAAGAAAGAGGCTAGAGGGGTCATTGTGCTGGGATGGAGCTGGCCAGCAGGTTTCACTTGTTTTCCACTGTAACAAACATGACTGTGACACATTCTCATTAGTGCAAAACAGATGGTAGCTACCACAGTGACTCAGAATCAGCATGACCATCATCAGTGCTTCACTGAGGCCATGTGCTGCAGGCTGGGTATGAAGGTGACAGGACATGGATTATGTGCACTTCTCAAAACATAAACTTTAATTCATCCTCTTTTCTAACTGCTCAAAAAAGCCTCTTTGAATGCAACTGAGAATGATGTCATTATAGGAATTCCTTTGAATCTGTACTAGTTTATTTTTTAACTGAATTAATGATAGAGTTGAATATTTTGCCCATTTTTGGTAAAAGTTATTTGCAACTTGCTTCACTAATCACACTTGTCAAATTACTTGACTTTCAAGAGGTAACATGATCAAATTTGCTTTATATAGCTTTTTAAAAATTTTTTTTTGCTCCACAAAAAGGAGGAGACTGTGAAGGGGAGAATTATAGGATGCAGAATCAATAGGCGGAAAACAATTTCATCAAACTAGGTAAAAGACGATGAGGACTTGAACCAAGGAAGCGATGGTGCAAATGGAAAGAAAAGAGAGTTCAGAAATCTTTTAGGTTGGCTCAATATACATACACGGGATAGCATGGCCTTTGAAGTAGGAAAAATGAAAGAGGGAGGGATTAGGTATTAAACTTCAGCTTTCATATTTACTAGCTGCTGGATCTAGCATATCTACCTTCTCAGAACCTCAGTTTCCCTCATTTGTAAAATGGGGATAACAGTAATTAAAACATAGAGGTGCTGTAAGGAGTAAACGAAATCAGGAATGAAAAGCACAGTGCCCCAGTACAAAGTAAGTGCTCATTGAGAGAGTGATTAGAAGAGACATTGAAGCTTCTACCTAGGATTTCTTTTTTTTTTTTTTTTTCCTTTTTGTCTTTTTTCGTGACCGGCAACGGATCGCAACCCTCGGTGTTGCTCTCGCACCTCACTCAGCCAGTGAGCGGCTGGTCTGTATGTGGGATCCGAACCCTCGGCAGGAGCACTGCTGCGCTTCCCAAGCGGCGCACTGTAGCAGTGCGCCACCGGGCCGGCCCTACCTAGGACATCTGAAAGGGTGGTGGAGTCATTCACCCAATGCTGAAATACAGGAGAAAAAGCATGTTTGAGGAAAAGGTACCAGTGTGTTTGGTTGAGTTTGAGGAGCCTGTAGGATTTATGGTAATTGAAAGCATGGGTTTGGAACTTGGAAGAGTTGGGGCTGAGGAACCACTGTTGAGTTATTGGGGAATTGAAATCATTTGTGGGGATGTGATTTTTGTAGGGAGAGTGGGTACAATGTGCAAAAGGGCACAGGCAAGAACTCTATGACCCACCACACTTCAGGAACAAAGCAAATAAATGAATTAGGAAAAAGGAGAAGGAACAGATAAAGTATACGGGATGATTCCGCTGCTGTGAAATAACCAGAAAAAGCAAATTTACAGAGACAGCAAGTAGATCAGTGGTAGCTTAAGGCTGGGGGTGATAGCCAGGATTGACTAACAGTGTGCACCAGGGCTCTCTTTGAGGGTCATGGTCATATACTAAAACTGGAGTGCCGCGATGGTTGCACAGTTCTGGAAATACAGTCATGTGTCACTTAATGACAGGGATATGTTCTGAGAAATGCATTGTTAGGTGGTTTTGTCATTGTGCAAACATCATAGAGTGCACTTAGACCTACTACACACCTAGGCCATATGGTATAACCATTATAATTTTATAGGACCACCATCATATACGCGCTCCATCACTGACCTAAACATCTTTATGCAGCACATGGCTATATATTCAATATCATTGCACATACGAAATAGGTGAATTTAATACTATATAAATTATAACTCAATAAATCTGTTTTTTAAAAAAGGCAAAAGAGGTGAGAGTGGGTAACTGGGTTGATAAGTGCTGCAGAGAGTTTTTAGGATGAAGACTGAAAATACCTCATTTCATCTGTCAACCAGGTAGCTTATAAGAACATTTTCAGTGGAGTGAAGAAGTGGCCAATGGTAGGATTGAAAAGGGAGTAAACTGAATTGTAGTGGGATGGGAACTGGGGAGGATACAAGGAATGCCACCTTCCCATTCCAAGAGTCCACTTGTGAGGGAAGGAAAATGATGGAGTGGCAGCCTTGGTCAGGGCAAGACTTTCTGGACATAACTGCAGATCAAAGGGAAGGAAGCAATGGAAAAGGCAAATTTGAATAAATAGAGGGTGGTTGCTGGAGCTAGATTCCAAAGAACATAGGAGTATACAGGAAATGGCTGATTACTGATTAGTGCTGGACAAGAGCAGGAACCTCACTTTATTGGAGCCTGTGAAGGAGGGGTGAATATGTCAATAAGCTTGGAAGTAGAAGGAAGTCAAGGCAGTTAGGTTCAATGGCCTCATTTTTTTCAATGAGGCATGAAATAAGAACATCAGCTGAGATTTAGGGATGGAAACTGGGGTAAGATGCTTGAGAACTGCTACTGAATAGGAGCCAGCTACGGAGCATGTGGGGGGCCCAGCTGAGGCAGAGAACAATAAATTTGTAACAGCGTCAATCGGCACCATTGTATGATTTTCCACAGGAGTGTCTGGAAGCTTGGAAAGAGAAGCTGAGTAAACACAGAGTTGGCCTGATCTGGTGCTGGGAGTTGGAAGGGTTAGTCAGGGTGGAAGGCAGGGAGTTGAGGGGATAGAGAGTGGAATGGAATGAGTGGCCATGAGGTGGCGGGGAAGAAGAAAATCCAGAGGGAGTAGGGGAGGAACAGACTGTGAGCACTGCCAGGATTAGAAGGATGGAAGGCTCTGCCAGGTAGAAAAATAGATTTAGTCAAGCTGCGAGGACATGAGCTTCTTTTGAGAAAGAGTTGTTTGCAAAGCTAAGGCTCCAGCCCTAGAGAAGCCTGAGGTCCAAAAGGCCAGAGTGGGCCATGGAAGTGGATGCTTAACTCAAAGCTGAGAAGGTACGTTTTTGGCAATAGAAATGCAGAAAGCCAGCACTTCTTGGTAGTTTCTCTAGCATTTTAAGCCCCAAATAAAAAAATCCATCCACAGGATAACTCCATCAATTGTAATACCTCTGCCTAACCAGGAGAGCTCAGGGCCGAGAAGCAAAGAGAAGTCAGACATGACAAATGATTGAGTAAAGATGGGGAAAAGAAGGCAGTGAGGTTTCCAGAGTGGTGGGATTCAGATTATCATAAGGAGATCAGATGGAGGAGGTGTGTGTAGACAGGATGGGGGTGGGGGGTGTTGGGAGCATGAAGGTGTGGAAATGGAAACTGGGTACACCACTTTGCTTCGGTTGGCTTTTCCCCTGAGTGGACTGTGCTGGCTCTACCTCCCACTAAACCAGCACCCATCTCCCTGAACAGGAACATGGTCTGCCTTCATATGGGGTGCACCGGGACCAGGGTTAAATGAGGTGAGACCATAGCACTTTTCTATGACTGACACCATCCTCAAGAAACTGTCACCTTTGAGAATTGGAATGCTAGTGCACTGAGGGAATGTTAGAGATTATCTAGTGTAATCCTGTTGAAATAAGGCCTCAGAAGAAGCTCTCTCCTCAAGAGGTAACTTGTTAAAAGACATCAAGCAAGACGGATGAGAGACTGAAC